GACCAAAAGAGATTGCAGAGATGCAATCCCCCAAGACCGTCACCTTAGTATCATGAATAACTCTAGAGAAGACAAATATAAATCGAGAAATAACAAGACACCTCATGTCATCCACAGACGGTTAAGAATAACAAAACACCTCCTATTATCTGTTCATGTTAGAGAAGGATGAGATATGTATATAAACCCTCCAAGACTTTAGACACATCCATTAGTTTTCCAAATGATTTACAAGAAGTATTTTAGCATCACTATTGTTGTTTTGAGAGACAACATCTTGATGACCATTCTCACATTCCTGGCAATCATAACATTGTGTTGCAGTTTGCACTCCTCCCTATAAGAATGGCTCTACCACCCCTGATGATGCCATTTTGATTGCTCATAGTGTGCAAGAAACTTACGGCATTGTGCTTTTTTATTTTCCAATACTCTCTAGTGTACCTTCCTTGGCTGATTCTACAAATATTGATCCCACCTCAACTAGAATAGCTCGAGATTATAGTGGTTGTGGTGGTCATGGGGGTCCTGGATGTGGGCGTAAATGTGAGGCCAAGGTGGCTTGGATGTGGCCACATAATCAAAAGAGAAAAGAAAAATGGGAAAAAGAAGAATTAAACTTACTTGTTTTGCTGGTGTTTCAGCTTGGATGGATGACGTCTGCCAAGGAAGCTACTTTGAGTTACAAAAGAGTTACCGATCGATCGGCGTAACTACTGGGCCGCATTCACTGTGTTGGTTGCCCGCCCCCACGTTTGGGTGGTCACTGGTAAGGTTTTTTACCAGCGGGTACTTAATTATTGCGACCGACACTGCATTTGGACATGTGTATTAGGTCCATTATACGAAGAAAATCAAATCAAACCAGTGTTGGATAATGAGGCTTCATCCCAAATACCAAAACCAATTACTTATGAACATATTACGTATGTATTGCATCTCAGAAGCCATGAAAATTTACTATAGTGGTACTGACGGGGTACGCCATCCAAACAAAGCAGAATCTCAAGCTAGTTCTCCCAGCCGCCGGGCCATCTTCTGCTCCAAATGATCCAGTAACAATTTTCTCAAGAGCAAGTTCCTATACATCCCACTGTTAGTGGGGAAGTTTTGGAAACTCGTAGATTAAGCCCAAACATATGGCAGTCAGCTTCAAGACCTGGTGGTAAAAGCTATATGAGATGCTGATGCAGCTCGTTCTCAAAACCGCTCTGCCGCTGAATGAGACACTAACACAGCATCTTTAAAGAGATTTCTCTTGGCAAACCACACATCAATCTCACTTAAATATGCCAAAACAGGAAGTTTGTGCTATACCAGGGTTCCATTCAATATTTTTTATGGCTACTAGTACTTGACACACTGCCAACTCGACTCATGCCAAGATTTCCGGGTCAACCAAAATACGATCAATCTTCTCCTCAGTTTTCTCAGCGTGTTGGTGAAAGGTTTTAAGTGCGACGTGAGTGGCATTAAACGTAAGATCTCCCAAAACCGAGAGCGTGGGGGGCATTGCGATCGGTTGCAAGAAGAAGCAAATCTCTTTCTCGATCTGTGGATGGGTTCATGGAAAAAGGGCAGAAAAACCATAAACTCGTTTGCCCACTTGGACGGAACCGAGAGACTATCTATCCAAAGAGCCAGCCAGCTAGCAAAGGGTATATAAGCCATTAATAATTATTCAAAACACTTGGAGGACATCTCTTCATGTACTCTCTTCAGAGGAAGCAGAGAGAAGATCATCCCATCAGCATAGTATTCCTAAAGAAAAGAATAAACACTATAAAAGAAAAAGGGCGTACGTAAGAGACACATACGTAACTCCACCGACCAATGCATCAGTAGTGCAGCACAATCAGGTAGTTTCTGCAAGAGAGAATGGATGAATGGATAAAAATCAGAAAACCCAAAATAATAAGAGAAAAAGATAGAAAAAAGAATATGTGTATGTGTATGTATAAATAACGACAGAGAGCGGACAGAGCAGACAAGACCGATTGATTTGAAGGTGGTCGACTGAAGTGTGAAGTGTTTCTTGAGAGCTCTTTCCGTATGGCGTCGTTTTTTTCTTCCTTGTGGTCGCCATGCAAAGCCACTGCAGCATTCAAGTCGTTTTGACAAGGAAGGAATCGTTCGTTCGTCCATCCCTGCAGTGCGGGTTTATAAATTCTCGGCTGCGGCGACAGAGACAAACATGGCAGCTACTATACGAGCTTCTTCCAAACACTGCGTCTGGTGTTGGGCTGCGTCTTGGGTTGTTTTATCGCGCTGGAGAGAGATCTCGCAAGCTTTTGTAGTTGTCCTCCCCAGGAACACGGACGTCGAAGAAAAACCCTTTGCTGTTTTGGAGCCTTCCTCGAGCGATTCCGTGCGATATGTTGATAACTCAGTGGATCCTCCAATGGTTTTGGAATGCCCGCACTGAGGGAAGTTTAGACGGTGATTCGTGGTGCATCACGTAGCGACTTTGCTTAAGCACTGACGCAATTCTTTCTCAGTCGGAGCATCTGAGCGCCAAGCGGCCACGACACGAGACAAAACAAGCGTCCTGAGATTCTTGCAGATTCCTGCTCTTGCATGCATTATTCGTCTCCGAAGAAGCATTTATATTCGTTGCTTTTGTTGTTGGATTGAATGAGTTTCCTGAAGTTAGCTTGATGTTGCCACTGCTGAACATGAAACAGGCCAGAAGATCCCTTTTTTACTAATAATTATGCTAATCTGAAATAGTAACAAAGCCTTTTGTTCTTTTCATTTTCTTCTTTTTCCTTCTTCCTACACGCAAAAAACGCAGAGGACGAGCCACTCTCTTGATGATAGTTCACGTCTTTTCATAGTTATTATTTGGTACGGTCAGCGCAAAATCTCGTGCTTGAGACACTTCAGTACTATTCTAAGGTTAAGGAAATAGGTGGGGTGTCTCAGACTCTCAGACCCTCAGGTAAAAAAACGCGGTAATTATGACTTCTCAAGTTACACTAACTTCAGTTCAGTGTGTACTTTTGCGAGATTTTCCATTAAGACAGACAGGAGCTCAAGCAAAGAAGCCATGATTTTTTCACCTTTTACGGAGAACGTGTGGTGTGGTGGATTGTGTTAAATGGGGAGGTGGGGAATATTTTGACCTGGTGGTATCTACGTAGTAGCCGCGATCAGTACAAAATCTATTCTGTATGTGCCATGTTTCCATGCTAGATTTTTCCGTTCTCAGTCAAGCTGCTTAAGCGAAAGATAGATTCTTGCGTGTATGAATCCCCGGGAGACAATGTCCCCATCACCTTTGAGCTGTGAAACATTACTATTGGGTTACGTCTGGTCAGGATCAATCGTGGTTTGTTCGAGGCGTTTGGAAAAGTGAAAAGAACTGGATTTGTCTATATCAAGCGCTGTCTCAGTGTTTGTTCAATCGAGCGTGTTCTCCCACCCGAGAAATCATGTCTATGATCTATCTTGGGGGCATATTTTATGCGCCTCTTTCGGTCGAGTAGAGCAGCAGCACGCAATGTAGTGGCCACTTGGTGGAAGTGTATAAAATTTGTGAACATCAGGCCAGTGTGGAAAGATTTCCAGGTGGATTGACGGCGTGACGCAGATACCACTGTAGGGTAAATACAAGAACCCCTAAACAATTGCTCGGAGCCGTAAACAAATGTATACCTCTACTACAACCAACGCATGGTAAATAAACAACACGGCATACAAACACATGACCAGCAGATCACATCTGCGAGTTGTATATATATTATGATCAAAATCTGTAAACTACTGCTATCAGCCCATAGGAAAGGTGGTCATTGGTGGGCATTTGACTGCCTTTTACAAAAGCAGCAAAATCGATCACTTTGACAAACACGACATACATTCTTTTGGTTTAGGCTTTAAGAACTTTTTGATTAGAAAAAGATAAAACATTGCCAAAGCTTGCAAATTGACTGCTGCTGTCAAAGCAGAAAGGTGGCGGACTGTTACACGTCAGTAGCCACCGCCCTAATCAAATAAGTGAATGCATGGCCGAATATCCGTAGGAAATGCGGTTGTGTCGGCCGATCCCCAGACAAGCATTCGTCACCCCCACTAAACTAATCCTATCTCCTTAATAACTGCCTAAATTTCTACTCTTTTTTCTTGGGCCGCGGCAGCAGCGGCCGCATAAAAAACGATAGAAAAAAGAAGAAAAAAGTCTATAGAAACCTCGATTGAAATTCCCGTAAGAATTGCGCAAGAGGACGAGGTGGAAGACCAGATCAAACCTGCGTCGCTCAACAATGCAATAATTTCGATGGATCGACGCTCCATACCTTCGTTTGAAATCTTTAGAAATTAGCAGTTCAGGCACGAGTGTTTCTATTCTTTTTTCTTCCGGTATTTTTCTTTTGTCTCCCCTGAGTGATGGGCTGCAAGGAGTTCTCCTTCGATCGATCAATCCGGGGTGTGTTTGAATGGATCAAATCAATTGACGAGATTTTGGGGCCAATGTGGCAACCGCAGAGGCGACCGGGGAGTCCCATAGCTATGGTCGAAATAGTTATATAGCTGGGCGAGAGAGAAGGTCTCCAATTTGGCTCACTCTGTTTTTCCTTCTCTCTTTTTTCCACAATCTGGGTCTTCTCGAGCTTTCGCCTTCTGGGTCTTCGATTTCCACTCGACAGCGATCGCCCAGTTCTCGATCGATCATCAGCTTCCATCCAGTCAAAGCAATTACAAGCGAAAACGAGAGCTTTCTTATTCTTTTCTTCACTTAAAAAAGAGAGAAAGAAGAGAGAGTAGCAGCAGCAGCAGTAGCAGCGGCAGCGCGATTTGTGACAGTCCCATCCATCTCTCTCTGTCTGTCATCTCTTTTTCCCTGCCTTCTGATCCCTGAATCATCGACATTTTGTTTTTCCTTTCTTATGCGCCCGGCGCTTGATCGACAAACTTACTGTAATCTCCCCTGTTTTGTTTCGTTTCGTATCCCCCACCGCTCTCTCTCTCTCTCTCTCTCTCTCTCTCTCCCCCTCGCTGTAAGGTTTGCTCTAAAGAGGTGAGCAAAGGAGGAAACTTTCTCGTTTTTCCAGCAGCGCGTGTGTGGATAGTAGATTCGATTTGTAGAGTGACAGGCTCACAGAGAGAGCTCAGCGCGGCTCACACTTGTTATCAAGAGGAGCGTTTGAGAAGCTTTCAAGAGTGTCTGTCGTGTGTGTGGAGGCAGCAGGGAGGGAGCATTTGAGGATCATCTGAGTGAGCAAAGCCAAAGCAAAGCAAGGGTTTTGTTTGTGTGGGAGTTTGCAAGGTCGCATTCGTGGAGCAGAGGCGAGCAGTGTGGCGCAGGGCGTAGCAGCAGCGAGGAAAATTAATGAACGAGCAAAGTGCAGCCGCAGGGACTTGGAATAGATAGACAAGTGACAACTTTGAGGAGTAGACTCTTTCTCACACACACACACACACAGAGCTTTTCTTTTCTTTTTCTTCTACTTCTTTTCTCTCTCGCCAGCGACACGACGAATTCCATCTCTTCTTTGTGATTTGATCATCGCCACCATCGAGGCATCGCGAGAGCTCTTGTCAAAGCAGTCTGTGAGTGAGAGACGTTCTTCAACTTCCTGGAGTGAGAGAAAGAGAAAGAAAGCTTCTTCCCGGGGGAGTATCCCTTCCTTCTTACCGCTTCCTGATCTCGCGATCTGCGTTGCTTTGGGGCGGCAGTAACAAAAGTACTTCCCTTTGCTCGCCATCAAGTTTCTCGTTTGCGGTACGAGTAACTGCTCGAGAAGAGATCAGCTGGAGAGAGAGCTTTTCGACGACCAAAGGAATTGAATTGCATTGAATTCAAGCAGGGAGGAATTCAGGCAAAAGGCACAGCATAGCAGCCAGGCCAGCAGCATTCTAGCAGTATATAGCAGCAGCAGAATCAGTGCTCTCTCACCTCCTAGCACAGCAACAGGCCCAGAGTTATAAATGGTTTGCAGTTGGAAAGGCCAAGGTACAAGCTCCTCCTCCTCTTCTTCCTCCTCCTCTTCCACTCCCTCCTCCTGAGATCAGCAACCTGGTTGTAGGAATTCCCAGCATTTAAAGATCGTGGAGGAGTAGCGGAGAAGAGGGGGAGATCATCACTTGTGCAAGTGATCATCATCACCTCCTCTGAAGGAGGCTTTGACATGATCATCAGACAAGGCCGGCCTGCGCAGGCGGAAGTGGAGACGGATCGTCACTCATGCTGCTCATGTTGCTGCACAGCTGATGATCAAATGCAACAGCAGCAGCGGCAGGAGTCTCAGCCTAGTTTCGATCATCACAGGATGATCATGACCAGGAGCAGCAGCAGAAGAAGAAGATGGACATCAGTCTGTTGTCTCTTCTTGCTGCTTGCTCTTTCTTCCATGGGATCAGCAGCGGCTGACCCAACATTGTCAAGAGGTGAGAAGCTTTTCTCCTTTCTTTTCTTGGTGGAGTTTTGAGATTTGCTAACTAGCACTTGCAATACAGGCAGCAGGAAGTTGCAACCAATCCATGACAAGAGATTAGCACCATCATCATCAGTATCAGCAAGTGCGGAAGTCCAAGATCACAAGGTAAATTCCACCTCCACCGAGAGAGAGAGAGAGAGAGAGAGAGAGAGAGAGAGAGAGTTATATATTTTTTCAAAACCAACCAAATTACTCATGAATCATCTGTTTGTTTGTGTTGTTGTTTCCAGTCTCATCAGGAGAGGACCAAGCTGGATTTCCCAAGCCCAAACAGGAGGAGCCCATCTGCTGGTGACAAGTCCAGGAGGGATTTGAGTGGGCTGGGGTCATCCCCACCACAGTGCAATTCCAAGTGTGGCTTTTGCTCCCCATGCAGGGCTGTGCATGTTCCAATCCAGCCAGGCTTTGTGAGAACCACAGAGTACTACCCAGAGGCATGGAGGTGCAAATGTGGCAACAAGCTCTACATGCCATGATACTTACACACACATAACTCTTTAGAGGAGAAGAGCTTAGCACAGGTTTATATTAATGAAATACAACTAGTTTTGGAAAGCTCAGTAGTAGGAAAACAAGACAAGAAAATGGATTTGATGGAGAAGCTCTGAGAAATGAATGTTGCCTCTTCAAAGTCCACCACTTCACAAGTCAAACCTAGGCCAGTGATTGTTCAAGTGGATCACATGGTTGAGTGAGTGATGGGGTAAAAGTGACGGTGGAAAGCTTGATTTTTGACCTGGGACAATCTAGTAAACAGTGACCATCTCCATCTATGGATAGCAACTTACTTTTTTCTACCTTGTGATGGAGAGGGATTGACAAGATCGTCAAGAATTTTGACCCGCCTTGTCGTTTGAAGACGGGCGAGTTTAAGATTTGTTTGAGATTAATATTGTTTGTGATCTCTTAAAGTCAAGCACACCAATCTCTCACTGTTGTAAACAACTTGGGAGATTTGGCATATGTTTGTGTAGAGCTTTTGAGGGGCAAATCTTTGGCAGCATCTCTCACGTGAAAATGGCCCACTGCTTATATAACACCGCAAAGCCTGTTTAACCCCCCGCCCGCAAGACACGTCAGCAAAACCCCACCGACGTGTCGACCACGTGGCAGATGACGCGACAAGGGAATAAAAGGGGGAAAGGCTCTCCCTGCCGAGTTTTAGGGTTTATGCGAAACTTGGATTGATCGATCCATGTCCTGTCTTTCCTTCTCAATCGCGCTCACTCTCACTCGCGCTCTCACATCACAGATTTTCACACACAATCTTTCTGTTGCGTGCATTTAATGCAGATAGCCAGACAGGAACAAGGGCGCGCAGCGCAACAGACAAACGCAACAGGGATTCTCCGGCCGCCAGGGCATTCTTGCAGCTCTCGGCCGTGAATCGTGATCTCCCTCCTCTCCTCCCCTCCCAATCGATCGGATAAGTCAGCGCCGAAAAATTCGATCTTCCTGGGAATCCCCGCAATATCGAATTCATCGATCCCAATGGCGTCCGCCCTTCTTAAATCTGGGAGCCGCGCCGCGGTATCCAATCGACACCCCCAAGGCTAGCCAGGACGATCCAACTCCTCTCCCTAGATCGATCAAAGTCCTTTGCGATGATCGCCTCCTCCTCCTCTTCGCCGTCGTGCTCTTCTAGCTACTGCTACTTGCTCTTGATCCAGAGCGTCATCTCGATCTGCTGCTGCACGGCCGCGCGATCCCTGCTCGCTCCAGTCGGTAATCGCTCCCCCCGACGCTCCCACTCCCTCTAGCTGATCGCTCGTCTTGATTTTCTTGCCAGGAGGAGGAGGAGGAGGAGGAGGAGGAGGAGGAGCATTGGAATATCATGGACACCCATCCTCGAGTACCGATCTGGATGTCAGCCCCGCGCAGGTAAGATCCATCGCGCTCGTTTGGGCTTTTGGGCTATGGATTGGAGAGCTGGGATTCACGCACGCCATTCTCGTTTGCGCAGCCTGCGAGAGGCGAGCTGAGCTTCAAGATCGGATCCAGGCCTCCCAGCTGCTCCAACAAGTGTAATTCCTGCCTCCCCTGCCAAGCAGTCCAGGTCCCAGCACCACTGTCTCATCACAGCCCCTCTTCTTCCTCCACTCCTTCCTCTTCCTCTTCTTCCCCACAGGGGGAATCTTCCTCCCCACCAAGCCAAGTCTGCAGTGAATATTCCAACTACAAGCCTGAGGGGTGGAAGTGCAAGTGTGGCAACAAGCTCTACAATCCATGACAAGCCACTTATTATTTTTTTTTTTGAAGAGCTGAGATGTATCAGAGGAGTAGATTTTGTTTCTCCTTTTTTCTTGCTTTTAATTTTAGAACTCTTTTGTAAAACGCCACTTTTCTTGATATTCTATCTGGTCAGATCAGATCAGATTTTTTTTTTGTCTTCCTCTCCATTCCTTTCTTCTTTTTGATTCTAAGGCTTTGATCCTTTTGATTATCTAAAATGGCATGATATGTACACACATAATAAGTTAAACCAGCATATTTACAGCTTTCTTTCACTTTTTTTTGTCCTTCCTGTTGAACCTGTGCCTGTGTTGGTTGTAATCAGAAAAGTCGGAACTTCTCACCTCGAATTCTTGCGTCGCTAAAATGCGGCCGTGGGTCTCACGCGGTTGCAGACGGAACACGCTGTCGCCCCATTCGCGTTCACAAATGTACAGTTATCGCAAGACCAATGATCGTCACCACCGCGGCTGGAGCCACCATTTCCATTCCTGGAGCCGGCACCACCACCACCACCACCACCGCCACCGCCACCAAGAATCCTAATCTTCCCAGACTTGCCTTTGGAACTTCCAGAGGCTTTGGAGCTCGCCCCTTTCCCAGATCGCGAGTTCCCCACATCTGAGAGCCCGTTCTCCAAGGCTCTTACAAGGTTCTCGAAGTACGTCTTGGTTACACTGTATAGGGACAAGACACAAGCGGCGTGAGTGATGCCAGAGGGGAGAAAGAAAGCAGCTAAATGCAAGTGGACGCTTACTATATACTCTATACATACACAGGCTCCTCTCTTACCTTGTGAGGCCCGCAAGCCTGGTTCGAAACTCGTTGAACGCGGCGTTGGGTGAATCCCCCTCTAGAAATATCTGCAAGTCCTTTTCAGCGCACAGATGCAAGCGCTCCAATCCGGCCTCTGCTTCACCTGAAGACATGCCAACCGAGGTGTTAAAGCTTTGTCTTCTTCACGGAGAAAAAGCGTCTCTCTTTTGCATTTTTTTTTTTGCTTTTCTTGCTTACGGAAGTACCTTGCAAGTATTCGAAAAACTGAGCCTTGGCCTGCTCCATTTCAGGAAGATAGTAGCCGTATGCGTAGGTCCACTTGAGAACACGGCGGCATTCTACAATCTGCAAGCAGAATTAGCTCAGTAAAGAAAATCTATGCTCCTGGTTTCGGCATCGCGGCTCTCACCTGAATCCACGCTTCCGTAACGAACTTCAACTGGGATACTGGCTGGCATTGCTTGTCACTGAGTTTTTCGATCTGCGTTGCACAACAGCAACGTATGAGCCTGGAAGTGTGAGGAAAAGAACTTCAAAGACAGGGTTATTTACCTGAACCGTTTGCATCTGTTGTAGATCTGAAATCGCTTTCGTTTTGGACTGTACCATGAGCGAAGTTAGAAAGGCCTATCAGATACTCAAATTGGAAACTCAACTGATTCGTTCGTGGCCCATCGCTCGTAGTAATGTGTATATCTCTCTAACGAGTTCTTAGCCATTTCCCTCCTCCTCTCAGCTTCATCGTACTGTTACACAAACAGGATGAGTCCGTGAAGGGAAACGTAAATATCAATTGGTACCACTCCCTCCTGCTTAGCCGCTTCGTATCGATTGCAAGCGTAGAACCCTCCGGTTCGTTCGCCGTGTTCTGACCACGGACCGAGGCATAGCCTGTATAGATGGTAAACATGATGTAACTAGCCAAGAACGACAGAAATGTGAACTTACCAGCAAAAGTCAAACTTGCACGGTGGCGTACAGGTAATGTGCATGCACCCCAAGTTCTTTTCTATCGGTCTTTTGCATTTCGGGCATGGTTTGGAGTTCGCCAAGATCCTGACAACAAACGTACGTGACAATGACTTGATACAAAGGCTGGATATAGTACCAGTTCATGTTTTCCGACTCCGCGCTGTTCTTGAGGATCCACTTTGCAACAGTCTCACAATCTACCGGTCGGTGCGCTTCCTCTAAGCACTAAAGAAAACCAAGCGTCAGAAACCTCAAGCGACATCAAAAAGAAGAAAAAAACATTTACATTCCAGCAGAAATAATGCCCGCACTTGCAAACGATGTCGTAGGATCCACTGCCTGGTACAAACTCGACAGCAAATTCACAACCTGGAGCTGGACACCACTTCGCCTGCGCACGAGAAGAAAAAAAAAAAGAAAAAAAAAACAAAATTTCAGTATTCTTCCTATGAATAATCCACTCAGTGGAAACAAAAAGAAAAAAAAAAGAGGAAAGACCTTTCTATTATCTTCAACGTAAGATCTAAGGAGAAATCGCATGTACTTGTTACGGTCTTCTTCCGAGACCAACGACATTATCATGTCATCCCCAATGGCAGCGCCACAAGGTGGATCGGGGCAACGAAGGGTCAGGCAACCTGGCCCATCCGTGATTGCCGTATGCATGTATCCTACACAAACACCAAAGTTAGCAGCGCGAAAAGCAAAACGAGTGAACTCACCAGTCCAACATATGTCACAAAACGAATGGTTACAAAACGCGGGCGCCTTCATTCTATCAACAGAGCGCAACTCAAAACAGATACCGCATGTCGGCTGCAAAGCAAAACAAAATCTCCTCAGCACTTTTTCCAAACGCAAAAGAAGAAGAAACGACGAAGAAGAAGGGTTCGTAAAGTTACCTCTATAGCCATTGGAATGCTTTGGGACGTTGGCCTTTCGAGGAGACCCACAGACCGCCGTACCCGCTGCTCGTCCGCAAACCATTCCTCGTTTACTCTGCTAACACTCCTGCAACAACGCGTCACGAGAAAGAAACAATTTGGCGTCCCACAGAAGGCCAGGACGAGTCGACTAGCATACATACCACTTGAAATGTCTCAAAAGAATAACCGCGTCTATCCGTGGTACAGACAAAACGGTCGCAACACTTGTGATGGATTGCTCCTGCCTTTGCCGGATCTCAGCCTCACTAAGAATGACAAAGTTGATCTGCAGCGCAAAGAGGAAAAGCAAATGGAATCAAACCCTGGAAGCCAGTGCTAGAGCTCACCTGAGAGCATTTGGAGCTGGGCTGGAAGATATCAGCTGACTGATCGTCGAAGCCATAGTCCGACTCGTCGTCGCCGATCTCGTCACCGTCCTCATCGCTTGGAATCATATCACTGTCCTCGTCCTCATCCCTATCGTAGTCATCCGAGGTGCAGGCGTCGTGCATGTCATCTTCCGAATCCATGCCGCACCGCCCCCCTCCCGGTGGAATTCCTCCACACTCGCGAGCTAGAATCGCCGCACCATCCTGCCCTGCCCTTTCTGGCTGCACAGCTCCGCCGCCTGGAAATCTCACTCCGCGCCTGGAAATCTCACTCCATACCTCGAATTCCCCGAGGTAGCAGGCCGAGAGCGCTGGAAATCCCTAGCACAGACCACCGATGCGCGGCCCCGGGCGCCCGGCGTAGCGTGGCGGTGATGAAATGGCGTCTCAAGCGTTCTAGGGCTTGCGCACCAGGCTTGTGGATGAGAGAGCCAGGTTCGGGCATCTCCTCAGGCTCGGGGGCTCCGTTTGGCTCGGCAAATCTAGGTCTGGCACCGGGCGCAACGCTTCACATGCCTTTACTCTTTAAAACTATGTATATACCCAAAATATTCGCCATTAGCTCGATCAGATCTTCTGATGTTGTGTTCTCAATCTCTCGAATAAATTCATGTGGAGCTTTAGCAGCGAGAGGTCCTGTTGCAAGCTTTGTAGACGGGCTTCCGCCAATGCTACCTCGTCTTTCACGGTGCGAGCGCGTTGTTCTAGCCACGCTAGAGCATCACTCGATCCCCCATAACATCGTTTCATGCTTTCCGGGGTGTAAATCGTCTCGGGAGATTGATGGTGATGCTCGCTTGACACTGTGAGGAGCGTAAAGGCCTGCGAGAGCATCCATCATCACGAAGTTAGAGAACTTTCCCAGGAAAACTTCTGTTTCCTACCTGCGCTAGCACGATGACGATAGCGATGAGGAGGATCCCACAGGCTACAGGATTCTCCGATAGGAACCGCAGCACGAAGTTGCGAATGCCGCGGAGCAGTGCCGCGATTTTCTTCCGCGTCCGTACGTGCTCGCTTTCTCTGCTGTCAGCGATCAAGCTCAAGTCTTCGGATGGCTTGCTCCCTTCTGGCCACAAACGTTATTGTAAAAAAAGAGCGAGTTACGCATTCCAGGAGATCACCTGTGGGGTAATTTTCCAGTGAAGCTTCCACGCGTCCCGGGTCAGCTCTAGAATTGAGAACGTTGTGTGCCTAGAAGATTAATGTTTAGTCACAAAGTTTGATTGGGACAAAGCTAGCATACCTCTTGCACCCAAATCGAATACGTCTCCTTGCATTCGTCAAGTGTTGCTTGCTCGATCTTGCCTAAACCAGAATAAAAACATTGTTCTCACGCATTTACGCTGCGAATATAGCGTACCTCTCCATAAGGTCTTTTTGGAGAAGTCAACGTTCATAGAAACGCGAACATATGAATGAAATGAGACTGGTTTAGGAACTCTTTCAACATCCCATCGCACCTGATTCCAGAAGTTCAGCAGAAAATTGATATTGCGGTTCACAATACCTCTACGTGAAAATAATCAGCGTATGGAATCTCCGACATTTGTTGCGACGTCTCAATGACCAAATGGCTGCACAGAAACTGTAAGCTTATTAATAAAATTCCAGAGTTCTTACCTGTCACGGTACACTCGAAAACGTTGTGTTTCACTACATACAGCTGACTTAGGACCTGCCGGAGTTCCAAACATCAGTGAGAGTAAAGTAGCTTAAGACACTTACCAAAGTACAAGTTCACTGGGTGGCGAAAAGAGATGTCACGGACATGGCCAAAGCGTGGATGCGAGGACCACAGGGTGGACCTAAAATCTAAAATATAATTTTCAGTGTGATCCGAAACCAATGTGCGGTTCTCACCTTCATCGCCACATCTCTTACGAAAAACGTCAGCAAAATTGGTGGCATTATCAGAGAAGAAAAGCTCAAAGAAGTCTTGCACGTCAACCTATCAGCCAGGGGTGAGCTCGAAGTAAAAGCAACCAGGTAACAGAAATACCGGAAATTCTGATTCCATAATTGTCTTGAACTCCAAAGGCACTGCAAGAACACAAAATTTGTTTCTTAGCAAGCTAATGTTCCAGACCGAATGTTACCTCGAGAATAGACACGTACAAGGTGGAGGCGGGGTGTCTTCAATTTTCCAAATAACCGATTCATTGACACCGGGTTCAGTCGTTACTGCGCTGGAAACTGTGCTCTCTTCCAACTTTGGGAGAACTTGTTTTTCATCGCCTTCCTCCGTGCAGCCCACCTCTTGAATTTCGAGAATTTCGCTAGAAGTAAAAAGATGAAACCGATTGATCTCTCCAATGGGTAAGACTATACCTGCTTTTACAGATTGTCGGGCTCAGTGAAGGCTGCGAAGGAATCATTTGCTCTAGCTGTTGAATTAAAGAAAGCGTAAGGCAAGTTGCTGGAAAGTTACTTCAGAGCGAAGCGACATACCAACTCTGATGTTCTTGCATGACCACTGTGACGTGACCATCCTCTTACAATTAATCTGTACGCTTCGTCGCGTGAGAGAAACGATGCAAAGAAATACTGAAACAACGCAGCGATCAGCCTACAAGTGAAACGTCGAAACGATCTGCACAAGTTACCTTCTTCCCCCAAGCGCCAATCTCAATAGCATTTGGAAAAAGTCCAGCCGTCCATGACTTACGCACGAACGCTACGTCTTTCAATGGCAAAACTTTCTGAAAAAAAATTTAAAGAACTTGAAGAAAGTAGAAGAACTATGTGGATAGATACCTTCTTCTCGTAGCCAAAAATGTTAGAGTAGAAACATATGTATTGCTCAAAGAGGTACATGTGTCCCTGCCACCGTTTGTTTGCTTGTTACTTTATTACAATGCGGACAACACAAGAACTGGAAATGGTGAGTAAAAAGACAAGAGCACCTGCAAGAGTATCTTCTTCTGGAAGGCGCAGTTAAAATCCTGGACTAGAATCTGGAAAGAGAGAACAAAAATTCAGCGGGAGGAGACGTCGCGAAGAAAAATTCGATCACACCTCTTCAACGGGAAGATGGAAGAGCTTCCGATAATCCTCGCTCTTGCATGCTTGCTGCTGCTGCGGCGATTGCACAGCCTGCCGCCACAGGAAATCGCTGTAGCGATTCACCGACATTATCAAAATTTACCTGGATCGATTGCGCTTGCGGCGCCACAAGGCTCTTCGATTTTTCGCCCTGTGAATCTGGCGACGCCTCGCCCGGCGGCGGAGACGAAGGCGCGACGGGAGAATCCGGCTGCTTCTCCATATTCGGCCCTCCCAGCTCTCGCGCAACACAAAACCCTAACCTCACTCCATCGCTTTGGCGCTCCCGGCCGGATCAAACGCGGAAATACCAGCGCCTTGCCTCTTCTCCTTCCCTTCGCTTCTTGGCGGTCGGGGGTTCGATTCCCGGGACTATATACAGTCGCTATATAAAAATGCGAATCCAACCACTGCCTTCCATCTCTCTATTGACAATAGAACGCTCCAAACAAGAGGAAAGAAAAAAAACAAAAAAAAAACGTGGAGATAGATACATGGAGAGAACACTACACTAATAAAAAGGACGAACAAGACGCTGGAAAATTTTTGTGTTTGCTCTAAAGGCTTTCTTCACCATTGTTGGTGTCAAAAGCAAGAAAAAGAAATTGAGAAAGATGGGGAAAATTTTTTGCTCACTCTCGAGCTTTGCTGCTTGCTTCGTCGTCGGTACCATGGTGGCTGCTACCATGGTTACTGCCGCTGGTGCTACCATTACCACTAACGCTACCATCCTCGTCCAGATTTAAGTGCTCTAGCGTCGACTCGATGATCTGGACGACTTCCGAGCTCTCCTCCGAGGCTTTGTCTGGGACTTTGACGTGAAAAGAGAGAGTTGGAGCTGGCCCACACTTCCTGGATTGGGACTCGAGAGCTCGCTGCTTGATGTAGCTCCATAGCTCTATGTGAAAAGGATGTGACGATGAGAAGCAGCTAGTGCTGGGCTCTATCGGCGTGGTTTTCCCTCTCGATTCTTTGGATGGCCGGCAAAACTCTGGAATGACACTCGCATCCATGACCTGCAAAGTCGAGAGAAAAAAAATGGTAAATATCGTTTGGAGAACTCCTTAACTTAATGAAGAAAACCATCACCTTAAGGAGCTCTTCTCTACCCGAGCCTTGCAAAACTTTGATCTTTTTCTTCGTGCGTTCTTGCAGCAATGGTTTGACAGCCTACCAGACGATGAAGCGAACAACTTAACTTAGAAGAGAATTTAAGTTGTTTACCTTCCAGCACGCAGTGAAAACGTAAGGAGCATTGACAATGTAGTACGCGTCCGTTTTCTCGGGATAGTTTAGATCATCGATGGTTGAAATGACCGTCAAGATCTGGAGAAGGATTGTATATGATATCAGGCAAAAAAAGAATTAGAAAACCTACCTTGATCCGGTTCAAAGCTGATAGCTTGAGGCCAGTCATGTCAAGAATCTTCAAACACGAGCCTACGTATCGTCCCAATTGCCTTGACGCAGCTGGCTGGATTTGTTGACAAAAAGTGAGAAAAAAGCTTAGAACTACTTGAGAAGAAACAAAAGGAAAATACAAGAGGAGCATTGAAAAACTTACAAGAACAACACGGTCACGGTATTCGTTAATCTGAATGTGCGATTGTACATACTTGTCAAGCTGGACAAGAAATCCCGAGTTAAAAACTTTAGGAGAAATTTTCGACAGCTTTTTGGCTCAGAGAAAACTCACCGGTGCTCTATCGTAGCCACTATGTCCTACTCCGATAGCAAAGACAGGTCTACCCTGAAAAGAATCTCGGGATCTGGATTATCCACATGATCCGGGAAAAAAACTAAAGAACTTTCACGATTGAAAGTTACCTGCTTGTCGAATCCGGACATGCCAACAAGCTGTGATTCTCGGATTTCATCGTACAATTCTTTCGGCTCAATCGGTTTCTAGGAAAAGGAGAAAAAAGCTTAAACAACGACCTTACTTAACCGAGAAATGAATGGACGAATGGAAATCAGAATGCTTACAGAGAGAATGTCGTCGATGTCGTTGCTTACTCTCCAATTTAAGGAATCCACAAGCTGGGATTGTCACGAACAAGTTAGCATCAAAGTCACTGACAGCGATGACGTTTACCATCTTGTTGGCTTTGACGACATTGCCTTCCCGCGCTCGCAGAAAGCGCTCCAGATTATTTTCCTTGAATCCTTGATGCATATTCTGATACACGTAAAAGCATGAGTGAGAAGTCCACCCAGAAACTTTTTGGTTTTGTAAGAAGTCAGTCAAGAAACGAATCCCATCACTCGAAAAAAAATCGATTCCACCATAAGAGCTTCCAAACAGTCCCCACCACGCGTACACAAATTAGAAAGAGAGAAAAAAAAGGAAACAAACACAAATATACAGGAAAGGGAAGCAACACGTTTCTAGTTTCAAAGGAAGAAAGTCGCTGTGCTCCAAGGAAAGACACTTAACACGCGAATCCATCCACACAAGACGTCGAAGCTCAGGCAAGAAGAAGAATCAAAAAAGACAACTCTTGCATGGGCCAATCTCGCAAAAGTTTGAGCTCACCTGGAAAGATCGCTGGAGAGGCTCATCGGCTACAAACACCGCCCAGGAAACGTATCATGCGATCAAAGCAAAGTGTTAGTTAAGTTGACGAGAATCTAATAAACAAAACGTAGAGCAAGAAAAAAAATAGCCATTAGAACAACCACCAAGCACCGTCCTAAGAAACTTAGAATCTATCAAGAACAAAAAGGAAAGAAGAACTCTCGTGGAACCAGAAGAGAGAACTGTGCCTGCTAGAGACTGGAGAAACTTTACCTTGTTCTAAGAGAGCTTCCATTTGCTTGATGGATTCACAATCCATCGTTTCAAGGGGAGCTCTTTATAGAACTTGACTCTCGGGAAGAAGAAGAATTTGATCTGTAGCGGTCGGACTTGAATGATGCTCTGCGCGTTAAATTTTTGGGAGGCGTAAGGAAGTATTTTTGGACTGGCTGGTGAGAAGATCTGCGATGGCTGGCGAAGAATTTCTAGTTTCTGATGGGCCGACTCAACCGACGAGACTGTATGTATGGCTGATGAAGAAGGATGATGCAGTCGATCGAAGAAAAAAATTCTCGGCGGAGAAGTAGTAGTCGGAGCAGTAGCAGTAGTAGTAGTAGTAGTAGTGGTACGTGTAGATTCTCTAAACAAGAAGTCTCAGTGATTTACCTGGAATTGTGGCGATGATCCCTGGATCCTGGGAGATCTGAAGCTACCAATTCTTGAGCCGCGACGATCTGGCCTCCACGGTGACATAGAAGAGACGCGTTGGTCGATTATAACCATTAGCGCAAGAACAGCAATGGCGAGAAATTCCACCAAGAACCCCAATGGCGCGATTGGAAGGGGGAGAGGGAGAATTGCGCTGGCCGGCCACACGAAATCGACGCGCTAGAGGAGGCCGCCGTGGATCACGGACCCAGCTGCCGTGATATTGTGAGAAAGCGAGAGAGATTGAAAGAGAGGGGATCAATCAAGGAATAAAAAAGAGAGAGGAGAGCGGTGGTCAAACACCCCACTCTGTTTCCCGCATTGCCGATTCTCACCCCAATTCTTGCTATCGCAGCGCCGATCTAGCGCAAGAATACGAAGGAGAACAGGAAGAACAAGCGCGCGAGGAATTGCCGTAGGGCATCGCGAAACGAATCCAAGCCCTCATCCCCTCTATATATTACTCCGGCCGCGCGAGAGAGAGGAGAGGAGGAGGGAGAGAGAGGAGGAGGATGGAATTACTACTCGCGCCTTGGATTCCATTGCCGCGATTCAGAGTTCCCGAGGATACAATTTCCCCCTCCCCGCCCCCCTCTCTCTGCGATTCTCTCCTCTTCCTCGGGGGAGGGCATATTCGGTGACACGCTAACCTAGATTCTTTCAACTATGCCCCGACCGTAACTGTAACTTTCATTCTTTTTACGGCAGGCAGTGGCAGGATTCGATCGAGGGACCCCTTTGCTCGAGCGCGCGAAAGGGGGTCCGAATTTATTTTAGGGCTAGAACGGGAGAAAAAGAGTTTCGCGCTGTGGCCGGCGCGATCGATTGCTCGATCAATCACCGCGATGAATCAGGGCAGAGTTTTTCTCGATTCTCTCCTGGGCGCCGCCCATTGTGGATCCATGAGGTTGCGGCGCTCTTCCGGGCGCGCCCACTTTTGCCCTAACCGGTAAAATAGGTTTAGGGCACACGGCGTAAGTTCGGTTTTTTTCCCAGTGGGCGGATCATGTCGCCTATGTGTAATTCCTGCTCCTAGTTTTCTTTGCTCCCATCCACGAGGAGAGAAGGAAAAAATGTATTTTAGCGTGAGTGGTGCTGGATCCTGACGATTATTTTGATGCAGACATGGATGGAAATCGGGGTGTTGTTGGCGACAGATCATCTACACCAGATGTGAGTGCCACATTTTGGATTTTTATTTTTTTGGTGACACGATTGGATTTGCAGAAGAAAGTCCAGCCCAAGTTAACAGACGTCGAAAGCGTGTTGTCCCAGTCGCTGAGGAACGAGAACGATTTGTTGAGGTGCCAGCTTAACGATGTCATCGCCAGGGAGAAAAACCAGGTACTTTACAAGTTTGCTGTGAGCTTTTCTTCTTTCAAGTAGCTACTTTTAAGGAGTGATTCGTTTTCTCTCATTTCAGAGGATTGAGCTCCAGAGGCTGCGACAGCACCGTGACGCGGAGGTGTCATCACTCGTCCAGTCGCAAACTTCGCAGCTCAAGTGCGAGGTGGAGCAGCTCAAGTCACTGTTGCAAGGCACGTCGGCGCAGCTGCGGGAGGTGATCAACGAGAGGGATGAACTGCACATACAGAAGGAGGAGGCGCTGCGTGCGTTCGAGGAGGCCAGGCACAACGCCGGCTCTCAAGAGTCTCGAATGGCCGACCACATCCGGAGTTTGGAGGAGGCTCTGTGCAAGAGCACAGCGATTGTCAGCAGCCTCGCGGAATCCGTGGACAGCTTCCAACGACACGTTCTTCCTACTTTTAAGCCTTCCGGTTTTGAAGTCGGCAAGTTGCCGCAAAAAGTAGCACCAGATTCTGGAGAGGGCAGACTTATCATGCAACAGGTACGAGAATTTTGATTTTATTTTTTTTCTCTTGCGCAAGCAAAAGGAGAGATATAGATAAGATCACAGGTTGATGCTCACGTACTGTGTATGACTTGTTTTTTTTTCCTTTGCAGCTGACGAGATTGGAGAACAGCTTGACTTTATTAAGGGTGATTGTGGACGCAAAGAACGACACACTCGTTCTCATTCGCGGAAAGGTCTTTAGTTTATAGCTTTGTTTCCTGTGTGCTTGAGAGATTTTGACGTTGCCGTTAATGGGGGATCGCAGTTGAAACAAGAGAATGAGGAGTTGCGCAACGAGATGCAGCTGACGCGGGATAAGAAGCAGCCAACGGGCCAAGCTGTGCCTAGCGGTGACGAGGCTGGATTTGAGAAGCATTTACTTCGCCAAGAGTTACAGTCCTTGCAGGTGCGTACTGCCCGTTTTTGTTTCTATTTGCTATCTGTCTACCAGAAACATTCTTTGTTCTTATTCAACGAGAACGTGTCGTTGTTGTGCTCTACAGAAACTCTTCAATGCCGAAGTGCAGCAATTAAAATCTAAGCTAAAAATGTATGAAACCGAAGAGCAACAAGGTCAAGGACGGCTTATGGAAGTCCAGAAGGAGCTAACAGCTTTGCAAGACAAGCTCCATTCTGTCGAGGCATCCAGGGCCATGCTAGAAGCCAGCCTCAAGGAGGAATCCAGTGCGCGATCTCAGCTGGTTTCTCAAGTTTTCCAACTGCGGAAGGTTTGCTGTTTATTTCCAGAATTTGCTCTTTGGTTTTCATCGCGTTCTTATTTGCTTTTCTGGCACCACAGGATAACGAGAAAGCCCGAACAGAGCTCGAAACTTTGAAGCTCAACCAAAAGGTCCAAAGCTTTTTTCTCTCTCTCTTTTGATTGTCCATCTCTCTGAGCGAGCTTCGTCTTTTATCTATCCAGTTCTTGGTCCGGCAACCACGCAACGGCCGCATACCACCAGAAAAGATGGATTTGATGAACACGGTGAACCAGCTCTTGATGGAGATCAACAAGCTCAAGAGCGAAAAGGTCGGCTTGGAGGAGGAGCTCAAGACGTTGAGACGCACGCAAGTCCGGGACCGTGTCAAGCGGGGCGTGACGGCTCGAGACGTGGAAATGGCAGCTCTCAACAAGGTAAAGCTCTCATTTTTCTCGACTGCCTCCTCACTCCGTGCTCGAAAAACACAACCACAGGTAGGGGACGGTGAATTGGCATCGAAGCTTGCGAGATCGAGGCTTCAGCAGCTTGCTGTCCAAGACAACTCGAGGCCATTCTCGCCGGCATTAACAGACTGCTCATCGCACGGAAGCGTTGGAGCGTTTAGCATGAACGTCGACTATAGCTCCAGTAGCGTCCTCCAAGGTGGGCTTCAGGGAGCTAATTGTTGCTTGGAAATGCCTTCCAGGGACGAAGTCTACCACCACCATCCCAGCGGCCTCACTGTGAAAGCGGTCTAAATACAAATTTTCTCGCTCGTTGTTTTGTACAAGGGATATCGTGGCTGTTGGTGTCCGACGGCTGTGATTGAGAAAATCTCGACCGTTGGGAGATTGACGGCTGGGATTCCACGAGAGCCGACGGTGGCGATTTCGTGGGTTTGCTCGGGTTTTTGCCAGGAGCCCTAGAAAGAAGAGCGCGAGGCGCGAGCGATGGTTTCCGGCCCCGTCGTGAATGTCTACCCGCTGTCGAGCTATACGTTTGGCAGCAAGGAGGTGAAGATGGAGAAGGACACGTCGGTGTCGGATCGGCTCGCGCGGATGAAAACCAAGTAAGTTTCGAGTGGAACGGGAGATTGGAGCGAAAGAATTTTTCTTTGGCTAACGGAGATCTCCTCTGTGCAGCTATATGAAGGAGGGAATGCGAACGAGCGTGGAGGGAATTTTGCTGGTAATTTTTTGTCTTCCTCTCTCGTAGATTTTCATTGTTTTCCTTTCCTTTCTTTGTTTGCGAAGGTCCAAGAACACAACCATCCACACTTGCTGCTCCTGCAAATCGGGAATACGTTTTTCAAGCTTCCCGGAGGAAGACTCAAGACTGGAGAAAACGGTAAAGAAGCTTTCTTTCATGGTTCACGCTGCTAACTTCGATTGTGTAGAGGTGGAAGGATTGAAGAGGAAGCTCACGAGCAAGCTTGCTCCAACGGCGGCTTCGATCCAGCCCGACTGGCAGGTACGATGGAAATACACGAAGATAGAGGAAGAACTTTGATTTTGTTCGTTTCCATTTCTTCCAGATTGGAGAGTGCGCGGCGATTTGGTGGAGACCAAACTTTGAGACGCTGCTATATCCTTACTGCCCTCCTCACATCACCAAACCAAAGGTATCGATCTTTGCTCATCACTCTTTGGTGTGATCTTCTCTTTTCTGTTACTATTTCTTGTGTCAGGAGTGTAAGAAGCTCTTCGTGGTTCTCCTCCCCGAAAAACAATACTTCGCTGTTCCAAAGAATCTCAAGCTATTGGCAGTTCCATTGTTTGAGCTCTACGACAATGTACAGGTAAAAGAAGAAACTTTTAATGACTGACATCCCCTTTGTTGTTTGCTTGCTTGTTTTGAGAAAAAATTTCTCTTTTGCTGATGTGAGAATCGTTATTGCAGAGATATGGCCCAGTGATCTCCGCCATCCCCCAGCAGCTTTCAAGGTTCACCTTCAATGCCATTAACGGCTGAACTCCACCAAACTGGGTGAATTTTTTCTTCTTTTTTCTCCGTTTTGTAAAACTATTAACTTACTATATGAGTGGCTCTTTTTGTCTCAAAAGTTTCTCTTTTATATGTAGATACACCCCCTCAGCTGGATAAAAGTGTGAGGGAACCAAGAAAGAAAGAAAAAAATTACAAGCCTGCCAGTGTACACTTATCAGAAGCTCGATAGAACGGCGTCAGTATGTACCGAGAAGAGTTGAGTATCAGCGAAAAGCTGCGAAGTACCACCAGTAGAAAGAGCTTTTAGTTTTCTTGTCAAAAACTGTAGTAAGTACTATCTTGTGTTACCTTGATAAAAGGACGATCTCGGCTGGGGAAGGAATCAATAAAACTCTCCTTCAAAAGCAACGAGACCTGGATATGCGTCGTTAGATGATACAACAAGCCGGAGAGACTTACTCGGTCATTATTAGATTGAACGTTTGTGATCGTGTGAGCGCGCACGTCCGCGCATAGCGATTCTAAGTAGCTTCTAAGAGTCCTCAAAAAGCCATCCGCTGCCTGTGCCTGCAATGCCGAAACCATCTCTCGTTCAGTCGCACCAACCGGACCAAACTACCTGTGATTCCGTATACTCGTGGACTGGATGTCTCTTTGCTTTAAAGTCCACAGCCGCGAGCTCGGAGTGATACGTTTCCAGTGCCGCTACCAGCTCTCTCTGTCTCGGCAACTGAGGCAAGTAAGACACTGTCACCTGAACGAAAGGGAGCTTTCAGCCAAGAGAGCATCAAACGCAGTAGCCTATACCTGGTTCTTATATACATTCACACGCATCAAGTTGGAAATTTTGGAGCGCACTTCAGAGCTTTTGTGTTGGACGCCAACCTAGAGAAGTTATAGTCACTACCACCAATAGATGTAAACAGAGGTAATGACTTACTACAAAAGGCACCGGGGCGTCCAGAAAGTCCAGCATTTTATATGGAAGTACCTGTGCCAAAGCTCGGCATAACGGGCATGACGTAATTAAAACTTACCGGCAGCAGTAGACTCTGCCATTGAAATGGTCTCAGCATGGGGATTATGGAGAGGACAACTGCACATAAAATGCCCTGCGGCAGACAAAACCTGAGAAACTGTTGTAAATAAATCCATGCCACTTACAACGTTCGGACAAACAACCACCATTTGTCTCTCGAGTAAAGCTCCAGCAACCATAGAGAGTATCTGCCAAGAAAAACAGTTAGATAGCACTGCAAGCACTGGGTATCAAATAAACTCACGGTATCAAGGGAGAGTGATCTGCACACGGTAGACACAGTCCACAGCGACAGTAGAATGGCCTCTTCTTCCGCCGCTGCAGTTTCGTGGGCCTATATTGAACGCGTCCAAGTTTTAGAATCAGATCAAACTATAAAACACTGTTACCTCAGCTAGCTCCAGGCCGCTCTTCGATCCATCTGGATCGTCGGTTGCTTCCCGAGGTCTGACAAAGTTCAAAGGTTGTAGATGGTCGAGAGGCCGGAAAAACACCGGACTGCCTCTGGGAGGTACTGGAAGCTGGTAATACATACAGATTATACGCAACGCGTCACAGTTATTTTCCTGAAGGCGAAAAGAGAAGAACATGTAAAATATAAGATAAATGAAAACAACTGATAGCACCTCGGCCCATTTGAAAACAGAGTCGACACCGATGTCATCCTGACCCAAACCGCTTGTCTCGCAATTTTCTTCGTCAGAATCCAGGCTTTGAGTACAGCTTTCCACAACACTGGAACAGTAAAAGTACGAGTGAGACGTACATCATTAGAACGTGTTTGCACGGCGTACCTGTAAATGGAGTCGGAGCTTTCAGCTCGTTCATGGCCACGGTGTGACGGAGGCGTATCCACAGTACTGCTGGCAAGGACATCATCTGGCGAAGACGCTTGCAACTCTGACTCATTCTGTTCCACCATATGCCCGTTTGATTCTCTACTCTCGGCAGTCGCACAAATCTCAGCACTTTCTCCCGACTCAGTGTCTCTCTCGGAGAAGCTAGAGTGCTTCAGAGAAGAAAATGAGTTCATCTCGCTCTCGGAAATCAAGCCCGCAGCTGCTGCTGTTGCCCCTAGAACGTCTTCGACGGGAATAGCACTCTCCATCCAGCCGTCCTCATCGTCATCCCTTGGGGAATTGGCTTTCCCATTTGCCTTACTTCCTAGCTTAACAAGTGGAGGCACGTAGTCGGATATCTTCATTTCGCTAACACATTGGTTGATCCGATCAAGCCGCTCCTGTGCAATAATACTGCAAGAGAAGGAAAAACCATTAGCAATCGTAGAGCACTCGCTCTTTTATCACGTACCTCTGCAATACTTCAAAATGTAGGTGGAAAAAAGGAAGCTTCGTGAGAATGCAGTAGCATCGGGGTGCGGAGACCAGAAACCGGCTTCGCGTCAACCTGGACGACGATAAGGGCGTGTTTACTGAAAAAAATCCTGGCGCCCTTTGAACAATCTCGCGAACGAAAATGCAGATTCCATAAAGAGTTGCATTATCTGCTACCTGCAAACTCAATACGATGTAGCTTTTTATGATTGAGAGAGCTTATACACACCTTGAGAACAAAAACGAAAGACAGATCATCTCGCACCTGATGGTCCTGCAAATGATAAAAGTGAATAAAACTGAAAGAACAAAAAGTCTCAGTACCTGTCCATAAACGACCTCGTTCAAATCGCTCATGGAAGGTGTCCGCTCAACGACTTTGGCCTACAGGCAATCAAAGAGTTCGCTCAGTCACAGCTAGGCAAGCTTACTATACGCACGTACTTCGACACCACTCGGGAAGCAAAACGATGGGAGATCTTTGCTTCTTAAAGGTAGACGTTTCCCTGGAGGATACTTGAAGAGTACCTGCAATCTCAAAATCGATACGTAAGCAAACGAGATGCATGAAAACAATAATCACCTACTTGAGGCTCCAACGTAGGAGCCGGAGCACCGCGGTACTGCCGATCGGCCTCGCTCAGCCGCTCAGCTTTCTCCACATTCCTCTCCCAGGCCTTCTTCTTCGCAAACGCGGCCTCCACAACCTCCACATTAGTCTCGGGATGCAAGCCGACCACCACAAAATGCTCAAAGATGCTGGTTGGTTCCTTCTTCTGCTTCTTCTCCTGCAGCAATGAAGACTCGTCAAAAAGAGAGACAATCCAAGAGCGTTTGCTTTACCAACGCTTGAAGCTGCAGCTCGATCCACTGGCGCTTTTGTTTGGTCAGCAGCTCTGGATTGAAAGAGCTCTTCTTGCCACCTTCACGCGGGTACAAGCCCCACTTCCACACCTTTTGAAGCTGGCGCCTCCATTTGTTAAAGCTATTGTTGTTCTGGAACGCACTGCTGCTATCAATCGGATGCCTGGACGAAACCACAATGGATGGTCGAGGCCTGATCGCGGCAGCGGCCGCTACGGCGGCTCTGGCAACTTCTTCAGTGGTCTGCGCAAGAAACGAGCGTTGCTCCGGCGCCTCGCTGTTACCTGGAGTGGAAGATGCTTCGCTTGCTTCCATATCATCCATGTCGTGTGGACAAAACCTCCATAGACGTAGGAAGAGAGAAAGAAAAATTAAACCCGGCTCTTCTCAAGGCATTATAAAACGCGCCGCGAGCCGCCACTCCATCCCATGCAATATTTCCCAGAGATTTTCCTGCCTAGCCGCCGCTGGTGATTCTATCCCAATCCCACATCGCGCCACTGCCACAAGATTTCTCATCACCTGTTCTAGAACTCCCGCTCGGTGCTGGAAATCCCTGCTAGCTAAGAGCTGCGCTACCGAAATTTCCCAACCACAAGCCGCTGCCTAGCCGCTGCCAGGAATTCGCCAGGAATTCCCACAAATTCGTCCTAAAGCCCTAAGCGCAAGGCGCTATAGCGATCGCTCCCAGCCTAGACCGACGCAGCGCTCACCGGGCAATCGTTGCTAGCTCCGCGAGAAGCAACCCTACGCGCCATCGCCTGGAAGCTCCCCCATTGTTGGCAAATCGCGCCTTCCATCCATCTTCTCGTGTGCTTTGAGCGACGATAATCAAGAACAGTGTCCCTCCTCGTAGGTAACCGGAATATCCGTATAGCTATTCCGTCACCGCCTGTCGAATATTCCGCCCACACCACATGGTCTGCCATTCGCGCAGCTAGCAAACAATGCCGGGACAAGATCCTGCAAAGCACACAAAGGGACCAGCAAACATCTCGATCTCTCCCACCGTATACTTCTACCGACACCACGAGTAAAAAAATCTGATTTTCACCAAGGTACAAACCACCAAGCTTTTGACAAAGATTGATTATTTTTCTTTTTCCTTGTTCTTCCCAAGTTCCCGGAAGAGCGACTTGGTATAAATGGAAGTACTGCCGCCTTTGGAGAGATCACTATATAATATACACCTGAATAGAGAGCGTAGAGATCAAGAGAAAGCAAGAACAAAGGAGACAACGAGCAAGTCACTTCCGTGTCACGCCTTGGATTTTTTTTCTTTCGTTTTTTTCACCTACAAGCAACACCAGCTTCGTCAATCGTCTCCTTGTTCTTCGATCGATCCAAACTTATAGAACTATAAATAAAAACCGTTGCTGCTGCTGCTGCTGCTGCCACCGCCGATGCTGCTAGAGAGAAAAAAAAGTGGTTTTTTCTACCTTTTCCAGCATGATGCCGCTAGAAAAAATCGAAGTCGAGATAAGCGCTCGATCCATTCGAGTCGCCTTTGGCTGCTCCTCCAGTCCCTGCCCCTGCCCCTGTCCCTGTTCCTCCAGATTTCTCCCCTGATACAGCTTGAGCAGTGGAAGTCGATCGCACAACTTCCGGCTCAAACGGCCTGGGAACTTCCGGAGGAGCGGTCGATCGGATCAAGGCCCAGTTGACGCCTTCAAAGAAAGGATGCTGCTTGATCTCCGTAGCACCGCGCTTGGATCCCAGCCTGTGCTGCGGGTCCTTGACGAGCAGCCCCCGGATCAAATCTCTCGCCGGGAATCCCACCTCGGACGCCTCTGGAAACTTGAGCGGTTGGCCAACAACGTTGAACAGCGTCGCGCGGTTGCCTGTGCCTTTGAACGGCGTCTTCCCGTGCAGAAGCTCGTAGAGAAAAATCCCAAAAGTCCACCAGTCCACCGCACTGCCGTGCCCCTCGCCTTTGATGATCTCCGGAGCCAGATACTCGTGAGTGCCGACGAAGGACATGGACCTCGCTCCAGTCGGCTCGGCTACGAGCTCGGGCAGCGGGCTCACTTGGTTCCCGACGTCGTTCTTCGACTTCCGGCCTTTCTTGGAGATCTGCGGGAGGAGCCTGGGGAGAAAACACGATGGCTGCGCGCACACTGGCTGGATGCACGCCGGCTGGACGCAGGATGGCTGGACGCAGTAGAGTGGCAGCCGCCGGAGAGGATCGCCGTCCAAGGCAGCCGACTTGACGAGTGTCGGGCTCACCACGCAGCGGAGTGACAAGTCGAAGTCGGACAGCATTATGTGGCCGTCTTCTCTCACCAGGACGTTCTCCGGCTTTAAGTCCCTGTACACAATCCCGAGCATATGGAGGTACTCCAGTGCCAGGAGAACTTCCGAGGCATAGAACCTGTGTGATCAAACGAACTAGTTGTCAGTCACCCGAAACGAAGTAAAACTGGCAGGCAAGCACCAAAGTTCCAAACGAGCAATGCTCTTCCACTCTTTCCAAAAGAGCTGGAAGCTTCAAGGTTCCAGTTTTAGCACCTCCGAAAGAAAAATCCAAACTTGCAAGCATGCACAAAACTTCCAAACGAGCAATGCTCTTCCAGTCTTTCCGAAAGAGCTGGAAGCTTCAAAGTTCCACTTTCAAAACTAGCATCTCCGAAAGACAAATCCAACTGGCAAGCACAAAACTTCCATGCTCTTCCACTCTTTCCAAAAGAGCTGGAAGCTTCGAAGTTCCAGTTTCTCAGCCACAACAGCAATCAAAATCGAAACTTTCGCAAGAAAAAAAGTACTTTACCTCGCAGCTTGTTCCGTAAAGTGCTTGTTTGGTTGCCGCTGGCGCAAGGTGTGCAAGTCCCCGCCAGTGCAAAACTCCATCACTAGGCACGAGAACTTGTCCGTCTCAAAGTGTGTGTAGAGCGTGGGAAGAAATGGATGATCCAGCAAGGAGAGTATCTCCTTCTCGGTCTGGGCTCTCAGCACCTTCTTCCTACTAGCCAGCGATCCCTTGTCCATGACCTTCATCGCAAAGTAGCAGCTGGTAGATCGCAGCTCCGCGAGATAGACGCTGCCAATGTCGCCACACCCGAGCCTCTTGAGCAGCCGGAAGTGGCTGAGACCCAGCAATCCCTCGCGAGTTCTCGCAACCTGGATCGCCTCCCAGCGCTTGTCATTCGCCTTGTGAGGCTTATTGCTGTTGCCACTGAAGGAGCTACAGCTGCTATCGTTGCTGTCGCTCACGGCGCTGCTGTTAGAACCCCGGCTCTCGCTGCTCTTGGCGCTCTCGCCCCCAATCCCACCGCCGCCCCCCCGGGCGCTGGATTTCGCAGCGCCGCTCGCCTTGGAGCCGCTCGACTTGGAATCGCTCGCCGAGGCCGTGCCATCGCTCACCTTGCCGTGATCGCCAGCGCTGATGCTACAATTTCTCATGCCGCCATCGATGCCACCGCATGAGCTCTCCATCCCTTTCGCCAGAGATCCCTCCTCCTCCTCCGCTAGCTATCTGTTGGGAGAGATTTTCCTCGCGCGCGCCATTGATCGCGAGACCTGGCATGCAAACAAGAAAGCAATTGAGGTAAAGCCACGCAAGAAAGAGGGGAAATTTTTCGAGAAGACTTTCTGGGAAGAATGTAGGAACTCACCGACACATCTGGAGCTCACCGACGCATCTGGAGCTCACAATCTACCATGCCAGGCCACCACCGGGCAAGGCGCGCTAAACCCTAGGAAACCCTAGAAAAAAATTCGTCCTGGAGAGCAGTGGCAGCAAGATCGGAGGTATAGCGCGCGGCAGCTGCCGCAAGAAATTTGAGAGGCAGACACACTATATGAGAAAAGAAATTTCTTCCTGGCTATGGCGTCGCGATTAATCCAAAGCCAGCTTTCATTACCTCTAAACATGCTGCTTAACCCGCCCACAAGCAGCCGTCGATTCTGCCGATCCTGCGGTTAGAACCCGCCAACGCATGCGCGGGCTTTAACGGCGGCGTACATCGACACGTGTCACGCGCTCATTAAATGCGCACAAAATGGCCAGGGCGGATCAACACCTTTGACGAGGAGATTAACTTAACGGTAACAAGATTTTGGAATCTGTTGGGATCTCCCGCAGACAATCGAATCAAAGTCAATTAAAAGTCAGCAACCATAGCATCAAAGTTTAATAGCAGGGATGGGCAAAGTTTTAGAGAAAGAATAGATCAAATTAATGTAGAGAAAAGCGATCACTTTCAAAAACGTAAAAACGATATTGCTTTCAAAAACAAAAAGAAATTATTTCCTCGATTTGGTGACAAAATTTTTGTAGTATTTCTCAAGCGACCTTGCGAACTTGAATGTGATGTGTTGACTCCGATCGCCAAATTGGCTGCTTCCCACTTTGGACCAAAGCAACCTGTTCTCCACCTTTGATCAAGCCTCGATTCTGGAAAAGAGATGATCAATCCATGCTATGACTAGAATGAAGAGATTTGGAAACTTACTTGGAGAGTGCCCAAGGCTCCAGAGAATGTTTCTTCGGCATCATCCGAGAATTCCATAAAGATTGGCCTTACACCATGGTACAAAGCCAGACGTCTTTGAAGTTTCTTACTGAGAAAGAGAAATAGAGAAGAGCTGTGAGTTAGCAACGTAGAAAAGAGCCAGAGGGATGAGCTTACTCGTTTGTGAAGGCAAAGACAGTCCCCACGGGACGGTAATGACTCAAGAGGGCAGCCATGAAACCGCTCCTCGTGAAGACCAGGATCGATGTTCCTAGCGTGTTTGCCATCATCGTTGCGTGATAAGCAAACATTTCGCTCATGTGATTCTGACAACAAAGAAAAAGGAAATGTTACGAAACGGACATGGCAAACAGAAGAAAGAAACCTTAAAAGCACGTCCAAGAGTGCAAGGTGAATCCTCCTCGGAAAGTGTAGCCTCAGTTCGCAAGGCCACAGTGTGCATCACTCTCACTGCTTTGAGGGGATACCTGTAAAATAGAATAGTTTAAAGCAGACAAGCGAGAAGGCAGCAGGAACGAGATATTACTTTCCGTGAGCCGTTTCTCCCGAGAGCATTATCCCATCGGCACCTTCCCGCACAGCGATAGCAATGTCCGAGACCTCGGCCCGCGTGGGTGTCGGATGGTTTATCATGCTCTCTAACATGTTGGTCGCCACAATAACTGGCTTACCTTTCTCTCGGCACTTGGTAATAATCTCATCCTGCTCGAACCAAGCGGAAAACGGAAGCTTGAATCACATTAAGTTTCTAGAGAGCGAGAACGAACCTGAAGGAGGGGCACGTCTTCAATAGGAAGCTCGGCACCAAGATCTCCTCTAGCAACCATAGCCTGGATACGCAAAAGAATGCGATATAATTCTCAAGAAACGGCGTAAAGTAAACCTTAGTCTTACCCCGTCACTAGCATCGATAATGGATTGAAGATTTGGTATCGAATCAGCACTTTCGATCTTCACAATAATATGAATATCCGCCGAGGACTCTGTCAGACAATTAATTTCAGTCCAAGAAATATGGAAAACAAAAGAACAATGGTTATGCTTGCTTACTTTGTAAATACGACTTCAGTTCATGCACTACCTGCGCGTCCTTAACGAAAGAAAGAGCATAGTAGTCTACCTCATTCTCCACACCAAACTTGATGTCCTCCCAATCCTTCTCCGTTATTGAAGGAAGGGTAGCACTCTTCCCTCTGACATTAAGGTGACGTCGAGAGTTGAGCTCGCCACCATCGAGAACCTCACAGCCCACGGTATCACTTGTTTTCCATTTCACAAGGAAGGCCATCATTCCTCCTAGTGAAGAAATAAACAGGATGATAAGCACTTGCAAGAAAAACCTTCGCATAAAACCCACCGTCAACAAGAAGAGTGTCATTAACCTCGACATCGTTCACAAAATCATCGTAATTGACACTGACGGACTTCTCAGTGCCAACACCACGCTTGATCGTGAACGAGAACTCATCTCCTTTTTCTAGCTTGATTGGTTGAGGAAGATCTCCGCTCCTTACTTCCGGTCCCTGAAAAGAAGCAAAAAAGAGAAACCATGAACACCAGAAAATAAAAACATGATCTTCCCACCTTGGTATCCAGCATGATAGCGATCACATTATCAGCGGATTTCGCGTTATACTCCTTGACGAGATCGATCACCTTCTTGTGAGAAGCATGGTCTCCATGCGACATGTTGAGCCGTGCTACGTTCATGCCAGTCTCCGCGAGCTTCCAGATCATCTCACGGGTGTTGGTCGATGGCCCGATAGTGCAAACAATCTTCGTCTTGCGCTGGAAGCTCGGTTTCGTCCACATCCCTCCGGGTTTGTCGATCGCAGGCACGACCTATGATGCGACAGAGCGAAATTCCACGCAAAGATCACACCGCATTCGACATGCAAGGCGGAAGAACACTCACCGGCATCGTGTCCGTGACGAAATCCTTGCCTCCATCCTGCGGCGACATCGGGATGATCTGCTGCTGCTGCTGGAGGAGCGTCGCCCTGGCCGCGGCCAATCTTTTCCTCTGCGCCGCGGCAAGCCTTGCGCTCCGGGGTGCAACACCACAGCGGATCCTCGTCCCCGTGAACTGGCTGCACAGGCGGTGGCACGGATCATCCAGCGCTCCAAAATCCAGCAGGGAGGAAGAAGAACACACGGATCCAGGTGCCGCCATCGCCATCACAGGAGAGGAGCGAGCAAAAACCATGGAACGGGGGTTCCAGAATTCGCAATTTGATGGCCATTCCGCCCCGGGAGGTGGACGGTCGAGATCAGAAGGGCCGGCCGACGATATTTCTGAGGGGGAATGCGAGGGCTGGATATCCGACGGCCCAGAATCTGCCGCGAGGTCAATGACTGTACGGCCTCACACGTGCATCCATGGCCCAGAACTAGCTGAATATGCTCGATATGCTTTAAACTGGCGGCATATGCGACGGAATCTTTTCATACGCCCTAGAATGCCAAAGCGGGATTCACTCCTTGTGATAAGTCAATTTGCGCCAGAGGGAGAGGCGAGGGCGCCGCTCGGCCGCCACAAATCCCCGCGGGATTGCTCCTCGATCAATCGGCGCGCTGCTGCTCCACTCGCGATCTATGGCCCGGCCGTGGCGATCGATCTGCTGTAAGTTTTCTTTCCTTCAAGATTTTTCCGGGGTCAGCAGCATTTATTGCTCCGCATTTACGCACGACAGCATTCTAGCCGCGGGCGCGAGGAGAGGAGCTGCGATCTCTCCCCAGCATTCTCGAGAAATTGGGGGAAAAATTATTTCCTTCTTCCAGAGATCGAACAAGATTATCCAGGGGTGGGGCGGCTAAACAGGAAAATTTACACAGCAGGATTTGTCCCGTCCGCGACGGCATCGAACGGCTGTCAATTTTGTGGTAGCCATGGTTTTATCTCCTACAAAGGATCCAAAGAGGAATCGCAAGCCATGGATGGATAGGCAGCAGCATCAGCGCGAGCAGCAGGAAAGCTGGCTCTCTCCGGAGCTCTTTCTGGAGAACCTGGGCAACACGGAGAATGGTTTCGCGAGCAGCAAGCTGGAATCGGTGCTGCAAAACTCAGATTTGCAGAACAGGCAGAGATCCGAGACGGTGGCGAGCAACAAGGGGGCAATTCACGATGAGTCTCGGTGTCACGACAGGGAGCAAGAGCTAGACGGTGTAGAAGACAAAGGAAAAGAATTGGAACAGCCAACAACAAATGCGGTGGTGGACTTAGACAACAAAGGAGGAAGGGAGCTAGGAGAAGAAGAGCATGAGAATGGCGACGCTCCAAAACTGAGAAACCAGGACGATGATCTCCCAGATTCGTCAGAGCTGGAAGAAAGAGAGGTGGTTTCAAGCTCCACAACTCCCAGCTTCAGGGAAGAATCCGCGGGATCACGTCAAGGATTCGAGGAGACGACTCTTGGACAGGGAAAGGATCAAACACCGGAGGAAAGAACTGCGGTAGCGGTCCAAGGCTCATTAATGGAGGAGGACGCGACGACTACTTCTACCACTTTGTCACCACCACCATTGGCAGGAGGCGAGCTGGAGCTCGACCACAACTACAAGGAGGATCTCATCGGTACTCTCAGCCCTCGACGTAAAGACCGGATCTTGAGGCCAGCGCGAGGCTCTTCTCGAGCGTCGCAAGATTTTGACGAGGGCGAGGACGCGGACGTAGCGCCGCTGCCATTCTCTGGGCCGATATCTCTGTCTGGGTACTCGGGTCCCATTTCCGGGGGGAGCATTTCAAGGCGCTCAGACGGCAGCAGTACGAGTACGCGGTCCTTCGCATTCCCAATGTAAGTTGCGGTTTTTCTTTTACGTGTTCGTTCTTACGTAGCTAACGCAATGGTTTCTTCTCTGTTTTTCTTACCAGTTTGCCATTCGAATGGAACGCCAGCCCCGCTCGAATGCCGCCGCCGGTCAGTCGAGGAAGCTACTGGCGAAACAAACGAGAGTGGTGCTTGCGTTGTCTTTGCTGCTCCCGTCCTTCCACGCATCCTTGAGGTTTGTGTTTGTGTGTAGCTCTTTTGGTTGCTGCTAGGTGTAGGAAGTCTTTCTCTCCTTTCCTTAATTCGCTGGTTTTTGTTTCCTTTCTTTTCCATTTTTGTTCGGAATTACTTGTATATACAGTTTCTAGCGTTTATTTAATCGCCCATAACCGTGGGTTTGTTGACAATAAATTTAGACCACAATGTCGCCCAAAAGGAATCTGCGTAGAATCTTGAAGGGTATTTGGTGATTATTCTAAATCAAGAGGAAAGAGAAAGGGGAATCCTAGCATGGAGAGGGAGGCGGAGAAGGACATACAAAGCATCTAGATAGTACTGACTCACCATGCTCGCTTGTGTGTGGAGGCTACAACATTTTTGGCTGGGAACCTAGAAAAAAAAAGAGAACGCCAAAATGTAACAGATGGTGACAAAATCTGTGTAAAGGAAGATCAATGTGCTGATATCTAAAAACGAGGGCCAAAGATCCAAGCATCAAGTTGGAGTTCTCCACAATGTTCAAGCCCATTGAGGAGCCACTCTATCAGGAGAGAAAGGTGCTCCAGAATGGAGAATGAAATACAGGGAGCCATGTCAAAGGAGCCAAAGGAGCCATTACCATTAACAAGAATATTTTAAGAATATTTTGGCACACTAAAGAATATTTGTTAAATTTTTAGCTGAAATATTTTTATTAAATAGGTATTTTAAACCAAATTAATAATTTTATTAAACTACCAGTATCTAATGTTAGTAGCAATAATGACTATTTAATAGAGGTTTTGCCTTCTCAACTCGTTTACAAAAGAAATTATTATTTAATATTTAATAATAAGTAATTATACTAATTATTTAAGTAAGCATCATCTAATTTATAATGTTGTGAGTGCTTGGAATATGGAAAAAGAATATAGAAATGTGCATATCAATTAGCCCAAAAACCCTAGTTTATATACAGGAGCGAGTGGTCCAGATTAAAACCAATCTAACGACTACCAAAATCCCATTATATTAATATTAGTATACAGCATTGTAACCATATACTTGGCCTTCATATCATCCCCTCCTCTTGGAATAATGGAAGTCCATCAGGGTTCTCTTGTAGATAGGCTAGGATCTGAAGGAATGTCAGGAGGAGGCATCGGTGGATCTGTAGGTGGTATTAACTGCTCCTGATCCCTTTGTATGCAGTGTTTCAACCGCTGCACATACACAATCTCTGAAGGGTCAGCCTGTTGGACATCATGCCAAACCTCATAAACTTGTGGTCCAACTTGCCACAACACTTGATATGGTCTTTTCCACTGCACAAGGAGCCCTATACCGTAAGATGGGGAAAATAGACTAATACTAAATCATCCACTTTATACTCCGTAGATGGACAATAATGGGAGTTGTAACGCTATTGTTGTCCCACTTGTACGCGGCTTAAGTGTTTAGCAGACTTTGCTCGAACAAGTGGAAGAATTATCATCAAATATTGATCCCACGATCTAGCATCGGGAGCTCATGGCAATCGCAAAGGTAAACTCAGCTCCGTTGGTAATATTAGATCATGACCATATAAGAGTTTATATGGTGAAGCACTAACAGAACTCTGCACCCCTGACCTGATATGAAGGCATGGAACGCATCCATATCCCCCATGTCCGTGACAAGTATCCTCTTTGCCATGAACCCATTCACATATTCCTGGATGGTTCTAGTCTGCTTCAGCCTACTCAGCTCATCTCTCAGATGCTGAGTGGCATTCGGAGGAACGTATGTTGCGCGGATCCTCGCCTTCATCATGTCCTGACATAGGCATACCAAAGAAATGGCAAATAACCATCCCAATCCGAATGCTAAAAGTTCACATACTTCACAATCATCCCTTTGAATGTCCAAACAAGCCATTCCACCAGACCGTCTGATTGTGGATGATAAGCACTTATGAAAGTGTGGCGTATCCCCAACTGAGACGTTAAAACATGAAATGCCTCAACCATAAATGCGGGACCATTATCTAAAAGAATCCGCTCTAGACAAGAATGCTGGAACACCACTCGATTAAAAAAGAAGTATCCAATAACAGTTGCAGAGGTGCTAGCAAGAGCACCAACTTCCACCCAACGAGTCAAGTAGTCAGAAGCAATAATAACATACTCATTGCCAGTAGTCGACTATGGAAAAAGTCCCATAAGATCAAATGCAACCAACTCAAACGGACGGGAAATTGTAATTGACTCCAACCGTCCTTCTGCAGCACGAGGGGGAGTATTACGAGCTTGGCACCAAACGCAACTATACACATACCAGATAATATCACGTCACATCTCCAGCCAATAGAAAGACCTGCGTAGCTTCTCGGTCACACGATGATGTCCTATATACCCACCTAGAATAGAAAAATCATGGTAGGCATGGAGAAACCACTGAATAAAGATAGAAGGCACCACCAGCCGTAAATGATCATCTGAATCTGTCTCCACAAAATAAAGAAGGCCATCTTCAAGGTGATATTGAGAATGTAAATGTCGGAAAGGCAAGTCATCAGCAAGTGATGAAGGATTCTTAAACCCATCTTGAAGCCTTCAAATCCATAACTCAATCTTTTGAGCCTTGCAAACCTCATCAAGAGAAGGTAGATCTTGCTCTGTGACTTGTGGACAATGAACGTCAAATACAACAACTGCTGATGGCACAGAATCCTTGTCTAGAAAATCCACAAATACTGGAACAACAGACTCATCAAAAATATGAAAAAAGAGTGGAGAAGGAATAGGAGCTTGAGAAAGAGCATCAACATCAGCCATAGAACTCTTTGGGCGATGAACAACATCAAAATCATATATTTAAAACTTCAAAGCCCAAGTTTTTCTGCTTCAATAATGAAGTAATAACAGCATCTTCACCTTCAAGTAACGTTCAAGAACTATGTAGATATGCATAAAGTTTCTTAAAACCCCAAACTGCCACTAAATATTCCTTCTCTGTCGTGGAGTAGTTCACCTCTGCTAGTTGTAACATATGGCTTGTATATGCAATGGGATGACGCTAACAAGGCACACTCAAGCTTTCTTGCATCAACACCTCCAAGACCAATATCAGAAGCATCTACGAGCAAAATAAAAGGTCAAGTGTAGTCAGGATATGCCAAAACCAGAGGAGTCGTTAACAGCTCTTTGAGATCCAAAAACGCCCACTCACAATCTGAAGACCAGATGAAAGATGATGTTGATGACTTCAACAACACTCGCAACGGTGTAATGCGATCAAAAAGATGATCCACAAAATGACCGAGATACTGCACCTTGCTCAAGAAGCGTTACACATCATTCACACACTTCGGAGTAGGGAACTTTAGAACAGCCACAAGTTTGTCAAGATCAACTTGCAAACCCTCACGAAAAATACAGTACCCAAGTTGCATCTTTAGACATAAACACACACTTTGACCACTTCAACTTTAAACCAATGTCCCGTAGCCAATTCAGCACTTTACACACATCATGAATGTGCTCCTCCCCTCTAAGTGAATCAAGACATCATCAATGAAGTCAGCAGTCACCTTTGGCATATCACAAAGAACCTCGTCCATCATCCACTGGAAAGTTGCTGGAGTATTATTCAAACTAAACAGCATCACCAAGAACTTGTACAAACCAAATGATGTACGAAAAGCAGTTTTAAGAATATCTTCTTCAGCCATTGGTACTTGTTAGTACCCAGAAGCAAGATCTAACTTGGTGAACTAACGACTTCGCACCAGACAATCCAAGAGATCAGTAGTGTGAGGAAGAGGGTACACATTCAGGATCGTCACTTCATTTAACGGACGATAGTTAATGCAAAAACGAATACTCCCATCAGGCTTCGTCACAAGATGAGGTTCACATGCCCAAGGACTCTGTGACTTCCGAATAACACCCTTCTCCAACATCTCCTTGAGTTTGCACATAAAATCTTGATCTCCTTAGGTGACCGACGATGAACAAGAACCTTGATTGGACGAGCATCCCCAGTTGGAATCAGATGACGTATGGCAATCTTGGCCCCAAATGATAAGTCAAATTCAAAGAGATCAGAATACTCCTTCATGAGCCGGTTAACCGCTGCAACGTAAAGATTGTCAGAGGGATCGGAAAAGGGAAGAGCAGAACAAAACAGAAACATAGAAGGAAATAATGGGGGAACAAAAGTAATGGAAGTAGAGGTAGAAGTAGAGGGACGAAAAGGTACAGAAGTAAGAAGAATGGATGAAACATAAGGAAGTATGAGACAAAGGGGAAAAGCCTCAAAGTCACACTTGACATGATCTCACTGCAACCAATCCATACCAAAAATGAGGTCAAAAGCTTGACTCAACACCACCCGCAATGACTACAACTCAAGCTCAAGATTGCCCACACACACAACCAAGTCCACCTCATCCCATGCACATGCATGTGTACAACTGTTGCCACAAAGAATGAAAACTGGTTTTGCTACATGATGCAAGTGTAGACGGCAACGTGTGGCAATAGGTCGAGTAATAAAAGATAAACTCAAACCTGTATCAACCAACACGGAGAGAATAATAAGAGACCTCTTGTTATAAAAACGAGTTTGGAAAGTAAATACTGGATGAACTGGTGCCGAGTGAACCCCTTGATGATACTCCCGAAAGAAAGATGGAGGGGTCATTGATTTATTCGTGCAAGGTCCTTCCATTACTTGCGCGACTCCTCATTTCTCGAATGCATCTCGGTGTCCAAACCTTCCACTGCAGCAGCACCAACGGGACGTTGCTGACGCCAAGGTCTCCACCCAGGAAATGGAGGTCGCCAATCTAGAAAATGCCGATAACGCCAACAAGTATGACCAACTTCATCACATGCCCAGCAGCGAACATAGGAATTGGAGCTAAAGGACGTGTAGCGAGAAGTGGAAGAAGCGACGTTTCATAACATTATACTAAGTGAAGAGCATTATCAAGGGTGGCGGGAGCAAGTGCATGCACAAGTCCAACAAGATCTTGATGAAGTGTTAGCCACAACGTTCCTAGCTTGATCCGCTCCGACATATTTGGCTCCATACAAAGTAAAACCGGTTCAGAAACTAATGCCAAATTGCATCATCGACTCAAATGGCCCTTGGCAAAGACAATGCAATTGTTAGAAGGCATCATCACAATCGTCAGCATGTCCAAAAGCACGTTTGAAAATGTCCGA